TAGTTCCCGAACTCGTCGTACAGACTGTCATCCATATTATCTAATCTGCTATTTTATACAAGTGATTAGTTCACTCAGCAACAATACAGCCACTAAAATCAGAGAATAGAAGGATAAAGCAATAGAATTGAAGTTTGAACGAAGATAATTGAGTTATAGGGCAAAATCCCAACAGAAACTCTATAGACTAACATCTGAAAACCTAATAGATGCTCCTGCATCATCTAAGCAACAGAAAGGGACTCTTCTAATTTTGGAAATCTCGCAACAGGTTTGAATGAAATCTAATGAGATAAAAGAAATACATACATTAGTAAGTGGAAATGTGAAGCAGAGAAAGGGCGTACCTGAAAAGCTAGGGCAGAGAGACGGCTGTGGAGTCACTGTTCTTGGCGGTGAGCGTCGAGAGACAATCTCTAATTAGTATCTAAAGAAAAAAGGAAAGTGGAAGCCGGAGCTTCTTAGACCATCGGCTACTGCGGTAGGCTGAGAGAGGGATTAGGGTTTAAGCAGTTCAAATGGCGGGTGGAAAACTCGTCTAGTACGGTGTCGTTGCCGCGAAGAGATTTACGGGCTGCTACTCAAACTAAATGGGCCCAATTTGAAAGTGAGCGGCCCATCTAATTCACTTTTGGGCCCTATCAAAATTGAATGGGCTTTTATTACAAAAAAAGAAAAAGGAAAATGTTGGATGAAAGCGTTGACTGAAAAATCGATATTATCGGCGATATTTCGCCGATAATATCGTTTTTTTGAGGGGGCGATATTTTCGCACCAATCCACGCTATTATCGTCAATATATCGAGATATAATCAGTGTTTTCAAGGACATACCTTCACGCGCGTCGGAGCGAGGCGGCAAGAAATCGCCTGATGCGGTTGGCTGTTTCGCAAGTTTCACGTTTAGCGCGGTGAGGCGTGGGAAGGCATGACAAGGCGCTGCAAGGCGTGGCCAGGCAGACAAGGCGTTTCAACCCTAAACCTTGTGTATTCTCCAAGCGGCGCGAGGAAGAAGAAGAGTCTGCGAGGAAGAAGAAGAGTTCGTGTGAATATTTTTTAGGGAGTTTCACTAAAACACCCAAAATGGGGGCTGAAATTATAAAAAAACCCAACACCCAAAACACTTTATAAACACACCCAAAACCCATCAATACACACACTCAAAATCCATTTATAAACACACCCAAAAAATATACAATTGTTGATTTTGGGGTTGATTTTGGGTGTGTTTCTATGTTTAAATAGTGTGTGGATTTTTTTATAAATACATGTCTAGGGTTGGGTTTATTTATAATAATCTATATTTTTTAGGGTTGTTTGAAACGACGTCGTTTCACTTTCAGCCCTTCTTAAAACTGAGGTTACTTAAATGAAAGTTGAAACGCAGGTTCAGTTTTTTTTATTGCGTTTTTTCTAATTAATTAATATATTAAGTTAATACACGTTGTCTATTCTATATATCAATGGGAGATTCTACTTCAATTTCTTGCCTTTAGTTGGAGCAGGCCGTTGTGTATTCAATAAGAATTACCTTTTTTGTTAATATATCAACAAATGGACCTTTATATATCGTACAATAATAATTTCTACACATAGACCTATATATATATAAATTGTTATAGTTAAATAAGAATTAGTTGTAGAATTTAATTATATTGTATTATTTATAATTTTTTTTAATAAATAGATTAATGTTTAAAATGCATACGCCTCACTGCTTCAAGGCTTACGCCTTGTATAACGTGACTAAAACGCCTCGTATCAACGCATCGCCTTTCAAAACATTGGCGATAATATCAGAGGCGATAATTTCAACACTCATGTATCTTACCATGTAATGTATAAAGTGTAAAATATTTTAGTAATTCATTATATATAAATGATTATGGTGTGTTTAATATTCTTTCATTAATTACTACATATTTTCTACACTCACAGTGTTTGCCAGCTCGCTATATAATCGACTTAAATAAGTTAAATCCATCATGCAATGCATTTCCTTCCAATTTTTTGTGATAAACTAATAGATAATAGACTAAATAAACATCCTGCAAAGTTTCAATAAAAATTTCCAAGTTTTTATTACAAATTCCGTAGTTTTTATTCAATTTTTATTGATATCGATAATATCCCGATATTTCCATCGAAATTTCCATGTTTTTGGACTACCGATATTTCCGATATCACCGATATTTTAGACCTTGGATGAAAGTGAATTTGATGTGCATTTGAAACTGTGGGCACTTCGGATCCCTCGCAAGGTCGCCACTCGAATACTCTGTGTAGCTGCCAAGTATGTTGTACGGACACTGCCAATAAGGTCGGAGTATCGGCAGCACAGACTCGCGTTGAAGACGACCAACGAATTGGACACGTTCAAGACACTCCCCGAACATGCGTCAAACTATGGTCAAGACATGACTCGGAAATTCTTGAAAAAATTTCTGAGTTGCAGAGGAGGCTTTGTGTGTAGGAATCAACGCGTGTGTTGCTGCTTCTTTTTCTTTAAAACGGTAGGCCTTACTTGCTTGATTTGCAGACGGTAGGCGGCTACCTCGTTACAGAGGCGCTGTGTTAGCGCGAGGAAGAAGAAGAGGATATCTGACTTCCTTTAGTCTTCTCAAAACAAATTGAACGACGTCGTGTTCTGACCCATAAAACAGAAGAAGGAAGAATGATGCCATTGTCACGTGGGTAAAGCCCACTAGGTTTAGGTGAAACGCGCGTTTGGTTTTTAAGTCTTTTTTTTTGGATGAGATCCAAGGGTGTCCACCGCCGACAGTAGTGACTAATCCCTTTCGCCGTGGGAGCTCTCCAAAGGAGGTAAACAGCTGGCCACGAAATGCGCTCCATTCCCATGGGCGGGGATCGAACCCCCAACCACATGGTTAAGGAATGAGGTGGTCTAACACGTTTGGTATCATTTTGTATTGTAATTGAAAACAAATAGCAACTTAATGGGCTAAGGCCTGGTTTCATGATAATGGTTGATGGGTAAATTATTTAAAAAGTTTCTCCTATGGGCCAATATAATGTGTTAATTTAATAATAATTTATATAAACTTAATAAATTAATTATTTTTTAAATTGCCGTGTCTTAGTTTTTTCATAGTTCCCTTGTCATCCTGTTGCGTTTCTATGTCCCCGTACCCGTATCCATTCAACATAGGCTGCCAATGCAATGTATTGGATGCTAAAAGTTTATATAATTTTGATGGTATTTTATTTGCAGATATTTGCTTGATAAACCCCGCATAAAACCGATTACCGACGACCCTTGTCATCAAAACAAGAAGGCCTTGCAAGAACAAAGTAAAAGAGTAAAAGTCCAACTGTGAGAAACAAAACATTTTAACAGTATATATGTGGGAACACACTCCATGCAGATTGTGAGTTAAAAATGAAGCTAGGTCAATATTGAGGCCAGAAGCGAGTGAAACATACATCATAGATAACTTTTGCAATGACATCCTTGTAAGGAAGTAATTCGTCATGAATATTCAGATAGGCAACATGACCTGCATGAGCATGAAGCAATGTTAGTCCAGCAATCCTTGTATACTAAACTGATAATAAACACTAAACAAAGAGTTATCAAGTTTTGCACAGTAACTTGGGATTGTAAAACTATGTAGAAAATGTGCAAGACGTTGGCGAACTCTGAGTATCCAGGAGGTAGAATGTGCTTCAATATATGGTCTGAAATCATAACAATCAGTAAGAAATTTGAAAATCATTGAACAAATACAAGACCTTATCAGTTAGAAACTCTGTATGCAATGCAAGAGTGCAATGCAAGAGTAGGGGTGTGTGTGTGTGTGTATGAGGTTATGCAAAAGAAAGAGATTAATGAAAGAAAAAGATACCAAAAAAGCATCAAATCGACCTGCACCCCAATATGAGTATCCAGGTGTCAACGAATATGGAACTACTTCAATCTTGCATAAACCCCTTACTTCATCGAGACTTTTTTAACGAAGAAATTATTAAATTTTCATGTTGGGAGACATTAAATATTTCCCATGTTTGTTTTGATAATAATTTATTATTACTACCATGTTATTTGTTCCAAAAGCAGTAATAAATGTGTTTTTTAGTCAAAAGAGGTGAGCTAATATTAAACAAAAAGCAATCACAGCCCAGGGTACAAAGAGATTATGGGCTAATATTTTTTGGAGTAGGATTAGCTTATAAAGTTTGTACTAAGTTTAGTATTTTAAACATTTTACACCGTACTAGAGCTCAACCTAGCTTGTACATGGATCCGTTCTTATTCAGGGGCAAAGTGAGACTCAAATACATTTTCAGGGGGTATATAAAAAAATTAGCCAAATATTAATATAGAGAGAGAAAATGGAATGGGAAAGTCAATTAAAAAAAATTAATTACAATATATCATTATATTAAATAAATATATAAAAAATTAGTTTGTTTAATTTTAGCCATTCATTGTACTCTACTAATAGTTGAAAACTTGTGTCAAATAAAAGAAGGATAATTATCCTTGACAATTTCACATTTTTTCGTCCAAAATATCCAATAAGGCCTTGTTTCTTTTCGAATATTTTAAAAGTATAGCCGCGCGGCTATACTCTATAAAGACATTCTAGACGAACACGAAGCTTGCACTCGCAGAGTACGAAACTTGCACTCGCAGTCAAGCCATTTCGCTTCTCTATCAACTCAAGCTTCGATTTGTTTTCTTTGGTTTCGGCTGCTTCGTCCTCCGGGTTCGGCAACTAAAAAAGACCCAACCTGCCCAGGCGCCCGCCTAGCTACCGCCTAGCCGCCTAGCGCCCTCCTAGCAACCGCCTAGCCGCCTCGCGCCCTCCTAGCAACCGCCTAGCCGCCTCGCGCTCGCCTAGCAACCGCCTAGCAACCTCGCGCCTTCCTAGCAACCGCCTAGCCGCCTCGAGCCCGCCTAGCGACCGCCCAGCCACCTAGCCGCCTGCCTAGGCCGATTTTTCGAACACTGCGATTGACTGAAAGTCTGAAACAACAATGGCCTGTTTCAGCGTCCTTTGGCTTCTTTTGCAGTCTATGCCTTCTCAGCTGCTTCTGGTTTCATGTGTCCATGGCTCAAAATGCTACACCGATCCATCTGAAGGTACTAGCCATCTTTCAGGTATAGCATAAATACGTTATGTGATGTGTACGCAATGATTGAATTGAGAATGCAGTGACGGCGTTGATCTCAATATTCAAGCAATGGGACATGCAAGCCCTACCTATCAGTGAAGGAGAGCAATGCATTGGATTTGCTATCAATGGAAGCGAGTTTGAAAAGCCAGAGAATAATCCAGCCATCACTTGTGACTGTACTTATGACAAAAATACTACCTGCCACATCACCAAACTGTATGTTATTACCCTCCTCTCTCTCTCTCTCTCTCTCTCCGTATTCTTTAGTCTTGTGTTGTTGACTGTAGCAAATCAATTAGTTATCAAGTTTAGAAAACTAAGCAGAACGTGCCTGATATATCAATTGTAATATTAAGTGCCTAACTGGAGTGGAAGTTCCTTCATCTTTTGAAACTATAGTTAAGTACTCTCTTCATGATTCTATTTTTTTTCCTCATTATGTGTTTGTCTTCATACTCAGAGTTCACCAACATCTTGCGCACATTTTCTACATAGTTTTACAATCCCAAGTTACTGTGCAAAACTTGATAACTCTTTGTTTAGTGTTTATTATCAGTTTAGTATACAAGGATTGCTGGACTAACATTGCTTCATGCTCATGCAGGTCATGTTGCCTATCTGAATATTCATGACGAATTACTTCCTTACAAGGATGTCATTGCAAAAGTTATCTATGATGTATGTTTCACTCGCTTCTGGCCTCAATATTGACCTAGCTTCATTTTTAACTCACAATCTGCATGGAGTGTGTTCCCACATATATACTGTTAAAATGTTTTGTTTCTCACAGTTGGACTTTTACTCTTTTACGTTGTTCTTGCAAGGCCTTCTTGTTTTGACAAGGTTATTGTTATGGAAATTTTTGTCATTGTAAGCTTAGTGTTGGCACTTGCATTCTCTTTATATATGCAATTTCTCAATCATAAGAAAATGTACCATGTTTCTACATATATGTCTTGTTTGGCCTTTTTTTATTATCAGAAAAAGTATCCAAGAATCAAGATAATTGTTAATAAAGTCGGAACGATTGAAAATGAGTTCCGTTTGCCAAAGTTTGAAGTTTTAGCAGGGGAAGATGATATGGTTACAGAAGTGAAACAATATGGAGCGACTTTCAAGCTTGATTACAGCTTGGTCTATTGGAATTCAAGATTGGAGCATGAACATATAAGGTTGGTTTCTCAGTTTCAAGCTGGGGAAATCATATGTGACATGTTTGCTGGTATTGGCCCTTTTGCTATCCCTGCAGCACAGAAGGGATGCATAGTGTATGCAAATGACTTAAATCAGGATAGCATCCGTTATCTGAAGATCAATGCAGAAACTAACAAGGTTGATAATCGTGTTCGTGCGTACAATATTGATGCAAGAAAATTTATTTCTCAATTGATGGCAGTGCCCAACAGCGATGAAAAATCAGATTCTGATGTCTCCATGCTGAAAAATGGCGAGCAATGTGACATTCAGGGCAATCAGGAACCAAAATCTGAAATTGGGCTACCTGGTAATATACATGTGAAAATATTGCGATCTTTCAGTTTGCGTGAACTGTTACTTGCAACTTTCTTAATCTTCAGTTTCTCACAGTTGGGGTGAAAGAAGTACCAGATACTGTTATTAGTAATCTGGACGCTTTACAAGCTTCCAGCAGGAATGCTGATTCATCAGTACCTCCAGTTAAAAGACCTTCAGATAGTTGTCAATCAGGTATCATTGTCACCACAAATATGTGTTTGGTTCACTGAAGTTGATGTAATCATTACTGCTTCCTGGTTTATTTATAAGGTTTAAGTATCCTTATTGTTGGTGTTAGATGCATACCTGATTTCCCTTCCTCTCCAACTCCTGGTTTATTTATAAGGTTTAAGTATCCTTATGTTGGTGTTAGATGCATACCTGATTTCCTTCCTCTCCAAATAATTGCATGTACAATGTCATTTTGATTGATATATATTTTGGTTGGGATTGCTAAGTTATTTCCCTTGCATTTCCCTTTGCAGAGAATGAAGGTGTTGATGGCACTAGTGCTTTTGTAGCTGATAGGAGAAAAGGAAGCAAGACTAAGAGAATGAGAGGCCCTGAGATCTCCGATGTTAAGACTTGGAAGCATGTAGATCATGTGATAATGAATCTACCTGCATCTGCTCTTCAATTTCTAGGTACAGATGACTTTTGTGGATAGTTTTGAATCTGATTATCTATACCCCTTTGGTATTTACATCCTTTTTTGTTTGAGCACAAATACCATTGCCTCAGTAAATCTCTGCTTGAACCAAATAGTAGAAGTAAGACCAGGGAATTTGCTCTTAATATCTGGATACATTTTCATTCAGATGGGTTGTGTGGGTGCTCTCATCAATGGAGGGTCTCTTCCTTGGTACTCTTTATCTTTTTGGAGAGTTTGTGAACAAGATTGCTATAGAATCAATCAACATATGCTGACAAGACTCTGATGATGAAGGATGTAGAGACGTGTATGTACAGATATTTTACACAAGAAAAGATAGATCATACTCGTATACATGTTTTATTTTTTATGTTAAGATCATTAAGGCATTTTCCTTACTGTTGGTAACTTATTTCTTACCACTGTTTTTGAATACTTTGTAGGTTATATTTGGTTTTGGATTAATACTGAAAGCTGATTTCTTTTGAATTTAATTTCAGATATTCATGTACATGACTGGACTAGCTGCAATAGTGGTAGTTGGAGCATACATCATGAACCTTTTTCCCCTTTGTTTCCTTTTCAATTCTTTTGTTTTTCCATTGTGTTGAAGTGTTTGTAACATATGGAATTTTGTCAAAGCCCATATGAATATATACCAACAGTATTTTTTATCACTAAATTGCAGAGATCACTTGCTGGAGAATGGTGGGAGAGAGAATCTGCTCAAAGAATGAGAAGAGAATATCTAAGAGCAGTTCTATGGCAAGACATTAGCTTTTTCGATACATAAGTTGCTGCCGGTGATATTATGCAATTTCCAGTGATGTTGCTCAAATCCAAGAAGTTATGGGAGAGAAGGTCTACTATTTGCTTTTATCAATTTGCCTTGAATAATTTTTACGATTGCGTAGAAATTAGTCATTATTGTTCTGTTCTTGTATTGACAATCAGCTACCATTGATACATTTTGAACTTTCTATATAACTGCAGATAGCACATTTCATTCACCATATATGCATTTTCTTATGAGGATACACAGTTGGATTTCTAAGGTCATGGAAAATATCTCTAGTCGTCTTCTCAGTCATACCACTGATGATGTTCTGTGGTCTTGTTTACAAGGCTGTTTATGTTGGCCTAACTACAAAAGAAGAGGTAAAAGCAATAGATAATGGCATAACCAAGCATATTACAAACTCAACCTTAATTTTTATCAACACATTATCATCTTTTTTATTCTTTTCTGGTGCATTATTCAAAGGTTTCTTATAGGAAGGCCGGTAGTGTAGCTGAGCAAGCTATCAGTTCAATCAGAACAGTATTTTCCTTTGTTGCTGAGGATAATTTGGCTGAAAGATACGCTGATCTATTGGCCGATTTGGTGCCTTTCGGAGCAAGGATTGGCTTTGCTAAGGGTGCAGGAGTGGGAGTTATCCATCTGGTTACTTACTCAACATGGGCATTGGCTTTCTGGTATGGTGGTGTTTTGTGTTGTGAAAATGGACAAACACTTTCACTCACTCCCCTAATGATCTTGTTGTTGATGGACTTTGTGACACACACAAGGATGGATGAATCACACACACACACACTTGAGAAACAAACCAAGCACAAAGTGACACAAGTATTTTAGAGGTTCAGCAATTGCCTACATCCTCTTGGTGATCCCCTTGAGAAATTCACTAATGAAAGAATAAGTTACAACTTTGGTTTACAAAGAAACCCCCTTAGAACTCTATTCTCTCCCAA